AGCGGAGGAGGGATTCCTGTCCTGGCTGAACCACCCCGAACACCTATGGGTCAAAAAGAAATGATGAATGCAGAGCCCTGACTCTTCTCCCATGGGAAGAGAAATGACAGCAGCCATCCAGTCTGGGTGTCAGCAGAGCTGCCTGCCAGCCAGCAGGGCCAGACCAGTCCAAGGCTGGCAAGGGGCTGCTGGGGAGCTCCCAGCCAGGGCTGAGAGAAGCACACAGGAACAACTCCGTGTGTTTTATCCCAGAATTGAGGGAAGCAGCACCACGACAGCTCTAGGTAATTGTTAGCAGTGCCAGCTGCATTGCCCTGCACTGGGACATCCCCCCTCAGCACTGCCAGCTGGTTCTCAGCCTTTGCAGTAGGAGCAACAGAAGTTTGATTCAAGGGTTCAAACCCTTGGAAGAGGCAGCTGGAGAAAGAGCGCTGCATGGTCCCCAGAGCCAAGGTGCCCATGAGCTCCTCCAAGGCTCAGGGAGAGTGATGTCTCTTAAATTCCTCTCTCCAGAAGCTCAAGTGCCTCTCTGACCCACTGGCATCCAAAGGAAAGGGTCCTTCCAAATGGAGCGATGTTGAACGCACCATGCCAGGACTCACCCCTCGGCCTGGCGCTGCTCACTCGTCCCCCCGTCCGGCTGTGTGTCACTGTCGGCACCGGAGCCAAGGGTTTTTCAGGCCTGCCAAATCAAAATCCAGTCCTTAATGTCAGCTCAGCCCCAGAGGTCCTGCAGTGCCCTGGATCACAGAAGGTCTAGGCAGAGCTACAGTATAAGCCATGGCTGAATAGCTCACAGAATTGCCTCGGTAGGTGCTTTAAACCACCTGAGAGAGGGGAATTGGCATTAGAGCACTTCCCCCTGAGCTCACAACTCTCTGTTCACTGTTACTGCAATGACAAGGTCACAGCTGCCATGGCACCTGGGCAGGGCTCGGCCTGCAGCAGCTACATGTTGGGTAACGCAGGAGAGCTGCGTGGGGACAAGGCTCTCTTTGGAGCTTGTAACTGAGACAGTGAGGCAGTGAGATGTGTTGTGGGCTGTGTCAGCAACTCCCAAGGGACACTGAAGTGGCGGGATCACTTGCCTTCTCATTTTGACACTGCCCACATCAGTGTAGAGGTTCAGAAGGGGTCGAATGCAGATGGCCTGGGCCATGATCTCATTCAGCTGGGGCCTCTTGGAAGGATCCAGGTTCAGCATGCTAAGGATGAGCTGGCGCAGGTCAGGGCTGTATCTGTCCGATATTGGGGCAAACGTCCCGCTCATGATCTTCAATACTAAGGCAGGAAGATTCTGGAGAGAAAACAAGAGAGAGACATACAGTGGCTGGGTGGTCAGAGGTGAGGCCAAGGAGCAAGAAGTTCTCAACACTGCCCTCTGCCTTCACACCTCCAGGCTCAGTGAGAAGAGTGATCCAGGCATGCATTTTCACCTCTGCAAGAGGCCATGGCTCCCTGCGCTACACGTAAACATATCCCTCTTACCGCAGCTTCGAAAGCCCTCTTGAGGCTGGCAAGTTCATAGAGCACACAGCCCAAAGCCCAGATATCACTCTTCTGGTTGTAAGGCTTCCCTTCACAGAGCTCTGGGGAGATGTAGCACGGAGTTCCCACAACCTAAAATAGACAAAGAAACGTACCACGATGCTGTGAAACTGGGGCAGCCAGTTGGAAAGAGAAAGGCTCGGTTTAGAGCCCAGTGTGCAGGCTGGCTAGAGCACCACCCACCAAAGCTTAGTGGAGCTGGGCTTTTGTTCCCTGATGTCAACATCTGCCTGACAATCTCTGTAAAAAACCTGAGGGTTTGCCTTTCCACTGACCTCCCTTGCACATATGGAGATTACCTCTAATTTTGCTCTTATCCACTTGAGAGAATCAGAGCCCAGTGCAATGAGCGTGATATGAACGCCTAGTCAGGTTAGACCAGGTGGGGAATGACACTCAAGTCTCAAGCAGGGAAGGATTAAGACAAGACAGGACAGCGGGGCACAGGCAGGAACTCAGTTGCTAAGTATGTGCCAGACGAGCCTGCAAACACCACCCCTCCCACTGTGACAGTGGGAGGAGCCCTGTCTACCCTCACTAGTGGGCCCAGACACACCATCCTCTCCTGGGCTTGGGCAGGCAGGCCTTTCTTACCTTTCTGCAGCAAACTTGGGCATGAAGACATCAGCCTGTACAAACTCCAAGGAGCAAAGCAGCGTTGCGGCACACGGATGTGGTCTACTGCAAGTATGCTACATCCAGCCTCGCTGCTTACAGCAGCTTCCCAGGGACTACTGTGAGACAAGTCCAGGGTTTCCAGCCTGCTGCCATGGTGGTATTTTGTTCCCCTGCAAATCCAGGTCACTCACCGTGTAGGCTTTACTCTTGCTGCTCAAGATTTTGGAGATACCAAAGTCTCCGATCTTGACAATCATGCGATGCTTGTCCAAGAGGATGTTCTGAGTCTTCAGGTCACGGTGCAGGATCTGCTTGGTGTGCACGTGGTGGAGAGCCAGGAGGATCTGCACAAAGAAGTGCAGGATAGTATCCTCATCCAGCAAGGAGTTACAGCGCTTATGAATAAACTCCGCTAGCGTCCCCCCTGCAAAGAACAACAGAGGGCTATCAGCAAGGGTGGCTGCACCAGGCAGCGCAAACCTGGCCTATAAACTGGGGGATTTAGCCACAGCATCTTAATAAGCTAAGCGCCTGGGAAAAAGCACATCTTCCAACGCTTCTGAGGCTGTGCGGAGAACAGCGGCAGCACAGTTGGTGGGACGAAGAAATAGCGAGAGAGAAGTTACTGTTGACATATTGTCAAAGGCAGCAGGAGAAGAAACACTAAAATTACAGCTCTTGAGGGAGGACATAAACCTTGACGGCAGAACAAGACAAGCCTGTTCTGCAAAAGAGAATTCTTACAGTCTGAGAGGCCACGCAGCACGGAGAGGCCCCTGTTGAGAAGGGGAGGTCCAGATTCAGGGCTTATGTACAACTTTCAACAAACCCTCACACAAATGTTGATTTTATCTTAAACTCCACAGCAAATCTAGTTAGAAATCGCACCTTCCCACACAGCGCTGTGGGACCAACAGTGTGGCCGAGAGCTGACACAGGGAAATGTACGTGAAACCTAAGCCAAGGGCAGATGGTAGCATGCTCATCAGCGACAGCGCTGTTAGAAATCTCTTTTGTTTTGGATATGATTAGCAGGCGTAAAGCATATAATCACAGAATCACAGAATGGTTGAAGTTGGAAGGGACCTCGGGAAGTCATCTGCTCCAGTCCCCTGCTTTAAGCAGGGCCACCAACAGCTAGCTGCCCAGGACCATGACCTGTCTTTTGAATGTCTTCAAGGATGGTGACTCCACAGCCTCTCTGGGCAAGCTGTGCCAGTGCTTGGTCACTTGGCTCACGGTCAACTTGAGACTCCCAGATCCTTTTCTACAAAAACATCTGTTCAAGAGAGATGTGTTTGGACTCTTTGGGGGTCCAAAGCACAGGATCTTTACAAGGAGCACAACATGGAGCCACAGCAGCCTGGCCCAAGGAGAGATGAGGGTTTGGCATCCCCTGGATCTGCCGAGGAGCTGGGGACCTGCAGATGCTGGGGGAAGATGAGGGCCCACCTGGGGCGTACTCCATGGCGATCATGAGCGCTTTGTCCTCCAGGAAGTTCTCGTAGTACTCGATGACGTTGGGGTGGCTGAGCAGCTTGAGGACCTGGCACTCGTTCTGCGCCGCCAGCCGCTCATCCTTGCTCATCTGCTCCACCGGGATCTGCTTCAGGATCACCAGCTTCTGGTCGGCCTTGCGCAGGCAGAGGTGCACGATGCTACAGGGAGGGGGACAGGGCCTCAGCGCGGGGCAGAGCCTGGCCACCACCCTGGGATGACACACGGCCCCTATCCCCCCCGTTGCCGTGGTAACAGGGCCTGCA